AGTAGCCCAAGCATAGAATTTGCTGTCGCTATTTATACGCTTTGGTATGTCCGTATATGTATGTAGGTATGTACATACATATAAACTAACTCACACACACTCTACTAAATAACCAAGCATAAGTAGGTGCTCAAGTTTATTGAATGTGTTGACGCTCTAGACCAAAGCGGAAAACACGACGCCGCGGCGAGACTACATCGCTGCGTCAACTTTGACTCTACTTTCGGTCGCCCAGCCCAGCGTTGAGCTCATCAATGGCTGCGAAAACTATTTTCAAGTCCATTTCAACTAAATCTTCAGCCATCTCCGCACTGTTGCGGGCAACCGCAGACCGTTACTGCTTGCCAACAGCACTCAACAGCTGCGCGCAGGGACCCCACTCTACACTCNAATGGTGCACGAAAGTAGCCCAAGCATAGAATTTGCTGTCGCTATTTATACGCTTTGGTATGCCCGTATATGTATGTAGGTATGTACATACATATAAACTAACTCACACACACTCTACTAAATAATCAAGCATAAGTAGGTGCTCAAGTTTATTGAATGTGCTGACGCTCTAGACCAAAGCGGAAAACACGACGCCGCGGCGCGACTACATCGCTGCGCCAACTTTGACTCTACTTTCGGTCACCCAGCTCAGCGTTGAGCTCATCAATGGTTGCGAAAACTATTTTCAAGTCCATTTAAACTAAATCTTCAGCCATCTCCGCACTGTTGCCGGCAACCGCAGACCCTTATTGCTTGCCAACGGCACTCAACAGCTGCGCGCAGGGACCCCACTCTACACTTAGTAACCGCTATGTACCTGCTGCTCCACATGTCAGGTGTGTTTTTGGGCAGCATACTTTGATGACATTCTGTTTTTGCAACGGCCACACACACTCTCTCTTTCCCTCTGCCTGCTGCTCCTCCGCCTGTCCGAATAGTNCAACGGCCACACACACTCTCTCTTTCCCTCTGCCAGCTGCTCCTCCGCCTGTCCGAATAGTTTTGGCCATCTTTATCGCCACTGCCTTTGTGCTGGCTGCCGTTTTTTTTTGTAGTGTCGGCGGTGACGCGGTTTCCTGGTCACATTAGAGCAAACTTATGCAACCACAAAAAAAAGTGTTCTTCCCCTACTTACACGTGTATTTGCTGGCATGTGAGTGAAATTGCATGTATGTGGGTGTGTGCGCATTTGTTAGTGACTGTCAAAGTGTTTGAATTGAAAATTGCTTCTTCGATGGTCACAAAAAGTAGCATAAGTGGGCCAACTAAGTATGCGCCGAAAAGCAAGATAAATGTTTTGTGGTAAGGTCTATGGCAAAGGAGCGAAGGTGCTAGTTTAATGAGGGTTGCCAACTGGTTCGCCAGTGGGAAGTTATCAAAATGAATAAATATTGTGACAAAGATCTGGTTGTAGGCTAATCTAATAGCTGCTGGACCTGAAGCGCGCTGCAGAAAATATTCTATCATTCTTGTACTTGGAGAGGTGTGTCTTAACGCCGGATAGAAATCTCCCTTTTGTATTGAGAGCGAACATTAGCCCAAACTGAAAAAGTTCAAACTTACATATGCCAGCTGATGCTTCTTAATCCAAGCTACCAGGCCGGGCTGCACGGCTATTTCTGGTCTGGTCCTCTTGCGGACAATGGTTCGTGCTTGTCTCAATCTATAAGATTTGTCTTAGACTTAGTGTCATACCTATGGGTTGGACACTGGCGAAGGCGGTGTTCATTCCCGAGGGAGGGAGACTATTCCACGTGAAGCCAAGCGACCTTCGACATATAAGCCTTACTTCCTTCTTTCTCAAAGTTCTGAAAATACTACTGGACACAGCTCTGCATAGTATTTACGTTAGACGTATTCCTAGATATCGAGGTGCATTTAATAATGTTCTCCCAGGGGCTGTTCTCCCCGCCCTAACCCACCTTGGGGTGGAGCACTCCCTTGTAGAACTTGTTCCTCGCCGTTTAGGCGTAATAAACTACGTATATCGCTGCATTCCGCACGGCAGTGTCCTTTTCCCACTCCTTTGAAATCTCACGGAGAATATCCTGCTGTCACGGTTTCAGGGACCTGGTTGCCAGGTCATCGCTTACGCTGATGATCTTGCCCTGACAGAAGTTGGTAAGCACCCCTCAAGTTTTACGCGACCTGGTGCTGTAACCGTTTTGGACACCTAAGAGACAGGCCTTGGTGTCAACCCAGAAACGACGGGCATGATTATTTTTTCAACGAAAATAAAAATTGCTCGGCTACAACTTCCTTCCTTGAACGGCATTGCGCTGACTTGTTCGGAGGAAGTTAGATATCTGGAATGCGTGCATGATGATCACGGTGGTGTTACCCTCAACGCCGACTAAAGCCCTAGAGATCCACTTCACTTTTTACCAGTGGACCTATTTATATGGTAAACTACAGGCAAGCTGTAGTGCTATTAGACTAAACGCGCTGATCAGCTGGAGTGATACGATATTCGGACACTCTAGAATTCTGGAAGATCTTCCATAAGCCCTAAGGCACCTGCACCACACAGTCACGCTCACTGGAATGATGAATCATTTCCATACAAGGATCAAGGGGTGAATGGGCGGAGGATTCAGTCCTGCTTTCATACTCCGACTCATCAGCCATCTACACTGATGGCTCCAAGTTGGATATGAAGGTGTGAAGTGGAGTATACTCGCAAGAACGCTCACTTAGCCTCTGTTTTCGTCTCCAGACCAGTGTAGCGTTCAACCTGAACTTACAGAACTTCTTCTATTAATTTGAATGCAGTAGGTATCTTCTCTGATAGTCAGGCAGCTATCAAATCACGACGTAACCTAAATGAGCTGGCAAGGAGATACGTACCACATGCCGTGTCACATAGTGGCCTAAGTGTGCCGTTCTCCTGTGCTGGATGGGGACAGCCAAGATAACCAAACCTACTTAGTTAGAGGTAAGTCCTCTGAATTGATTTATGCAAAAAGATCGTCCAACATTTTTTTTTAGTTGATCGCTGTTGGTAAGAAAGGTGTACGATATGTAAGTGTGTATATCCACTTCTTTCTTTATGAAGCTTTCTAAATTTTTTTTTTCGTCGCAAAAATCACAAAACTATGGCAACCTTTGCATTAAATTCACTGTTATGGGGATAAACCTTTTATCCGGTGATTGAGTTTGCGGCTGAATCATTCCACAGTCAGTGCAAGTGAGCAAAGCGCCTGACTCTTATTTGCCGGTTTGAATGTAAATCCACTTCGTGGTGGCAAAATTTACACAAAATGAATTTTGCAATTTCGCAATGGCGTGCACGTCAGCTAAGGACTCACTAACGAAACTAAATATTTGTGTAAGCCAATGAAGTTCGCGAAATTGGATTTCAACTGGTAACGCGTGTGGGTTAAAAACCCAATGAAAACACAATTTTTCGTTATAAAAACATTAATTTCGTTTATAGAAAGAATCGTTAATGCGAATATGAAAATATAAAACTACATATGTAAGAAACTACAATGACTATTAGCTATAAAAACGAAAAAGGAGTATGTAGTTTGGAGCTCTGAGGGTAGTGCGTCAAAATAGAATTGTGCTTTGGTGAAACTATGTAAATGATTCCATTAAAACTAAGCTAACAATAATTTCTTTCCCATTCAGCTTACGCCAAGCGGCTACCAGGCATGCACGTAACTACTCGTGAACAGCAACGGTTCTTCGAAATGCGTTGGCACCACTTCCACCGAGTGTACAATCGGCTGCAGATATTCCTCGCTATCGGCGTGCGTGAAACTGCCCAAATGTTCCAGGTGCTCTACATCCGAATCGACGAGCACATAATCGGCCTCGGTTTCGATGAGCACTGCCGTTGCGGCATTGTTATTTTGCGTCTCGGGTGCCTGTTCGGCAGCAGCAGCAGCAGCAACAGGTACACTCACATCGTCGTTTTCTTTCTTGACTGCCTCTTTATCTTGCTGCTCTGTTTCTTTCGCAATCGGTTTTTTGTCTTCTTCTTTCCCATCCGGTTGGTCAGCTGCTTTGGTTGGCTCGTCCGCTGACTTCTTGCCAAAGAGCGCATCGCGTACGCGCGTAATGAAGTTGGGTTTATCGGTTTCACTTTCCTTGCTTTCTTCGCTGGACTTCTCGCTCTCAGTTTGCACTTCAACACTCAGCTCGGTGGTCTCATCGGTAGAAACAGCTGTGTTGATGTCAACATCTTCGGGCTCTGAAATGTTCTCTTCCTGCTCGCGTGCGAGTCGTGGCGTGCTGAGGAGTAGCAACTTGGAGGATGACGGAGCGTTGGACACATACTCAGCGCTACTCAGTGGAACATCTTTTGCAAGGTCATCGCTTTCGTGAGCGTTTACTTTAATGCTAGCCGCTTCGTCTCTGCTCAAAGCTGGCGCGAACTCCTTTTTGCTGTCATTGGTTTCATCGTTGGACTTCGCGGCTGCTTCTGGCTGCTTTGCTTTCTCCTCTTTTTGCTCTGACTCCTCTTTTTCCTCATCTATTGTGTCCAAAGAAATTTCAATGCCATCTACGGTGCTCGGCGCTGGATCTAGCGAAGCTACAGCAATCCTTACCGTTGCATCTTGATCTCTGCTGAGCGCTGCAGAATCCGCCGCAGCTGGATCATTGTTTGTGCTCTCCGGCGGATTACTTGCTCTGGCTTGCGCCACTTCCAATGGCGAGTCAGCTGGTTGCTCAGTGTTACGCAGTACGCCTGCATGTATGGGCGTTGCAGTGTAAACAATGATGCCTAACGCCGCCAAGAAAAACAGTTTGTGCGACATTTTGAATCAATTGTAATGTATGTTTTTTTGGGGA